TATGGTATTTGGCTGGTAGGTCTATGGGATGAAGACCAACAAAGTTTCCAAAAAAGAAATGACATGTAATTATGGTCAGGTCACTGGTGTCAAACCCTGTAAATGACTTCTTCTGGTAAACCAACTGTCCAACTGTCATAATTTTCATGGTTAAGAGTTGAGTATTAGAAGCTGTTTCTTGTAGACATTGGTTAGAATTGATTGGATGTGCCCACCTTGAATGTCAACTCTGTAATATCTTACTGTATTTGTGATAAACACCAATTCTTGATGAACATTGAATACCAGGCGAGTGATGCAGGCCCATCACCCTTTTCACAACAAATATACTGTTGCACCAATACAACAGTCACAAAGTATTGTTTGTCAAAGACAAAGAAAAGTCAAATGTCACAAAGATCACATTTATTTTAGGCAAAACAACCTGATGATGAGAGGCAATGTATAAAATAAATAACAATAACACTGTTGACATAAATGATCGACATGGAATGTTATCCAATAATCAAGGCAAAACAAGTCTTAACAAAAACACAGTAGCAACATACAATGTCTCCGAGAGCCATAGAGAAAGTATTATCTAGTCCTGCCTGTGAAGAGAAAGTTTGTATCTACAGGGTGTAGTCCTGCTTGTGATGAGAAAGTATGTATCTACAGAGTCTAGTCCTGCCTGTGGTGAGAAAGTTTGTATCTACAGGGTGTAGTCCTGCTTTTGATGAGAAAGTTTGTATCTACAGGGTCTAGTCCTGCCTGTGGTGACAGAGTGTGTATCTACAGGGTCTAGTCCCGCCTGTGGTGACAGAGTGTGTATCTACAGGGTCTAGTCCTGCCTGTTAAGAGAAAGTTTGTATATACAGGGTCTATATAACAGTAGTGAAACATACTCTTTACTTCTTTATCATAAATGTCTCTTATATGTATTATGTCTTATGAAATTTGAAAAGCATTTTCAGACCAAATAAGATGTGAAGACATTGAAAATTTAATAAGTTTAAAATCTCATTTCAGTCTTAAATGAACAAATTTAGATAACATTTGAAGATCATGCAAGTCAAATTGAAAAAAACATTGATAGACATCAAAATAGCATGATATCTAATGAAACTGTAAGTACTTTCTATACTTACAACGGTCAACCTATGTTCACTCTACTTATCATGTGCTCCTGCTTTGTTAAGAATTCAAATACAAAGTAAGATTATAGCATGTAGTCTTCTATTGGAGCAATAGTAGGTCTTCCACAAAGTGGTGGCTATCATTACACAAGAGATGTCTACACTCAGTTGACCATTGATTCTCAACAGTTCTGACAGGTTGCTGTGACAGTTATATACTTGAAGGTGATTTACAATATTGACAAATTGTTTAACAGAATTTTAACCTAACTAGTCCCTGTTTGTAACAATACACTAGTAATATCAAGCACTAATCTATCAGAATTATTCCTCTGACAGTGAAGATAAGCGGCTACATATTAACTTAAGGTGACATGATGTACATATACAATACATAATGACAATACTGACCAAGTCCTATCAGAGACAATAGCTGGACCTGTAGTAACAACTGGTCACTGTTGTAATATCCAGAAGTGTGAAAAAACTGCAATGGTTTACCTTACAACAACACTTACAATGTACTTATGAAACATATTTTTTTATGTGATAAAGCAATAGCACTTGTTAACAGCTGAAGAGCTTGAACTGTACTCTCTTCAAACAATCTTGACTAATAAAAGCAGGCATATGAAGCAACTTTCTGGATAGAATTGACCTTAAAGATGGTGAATTACTTTCATCTATACAAACACAAAGAACTTAAATATCAATGATTTGTACTTGGTACACAACTCTACCATAGTAAACATGTATATAGAATGACGGTGGAACATGTCAAAAGACCATAAAATTACTGATGGTACACCAAGAGACTTAAAACATTACTTGTATAATTCGTAATTGTCTAAAGTTATATATGTATAAAGAAAACAATAAAAGAAAAACAATAATAAGAAATCTACTGATAAACAGTAAGAAAGGCATTAAATCTGTAACATCATGTTGGTATCAACATATTACCAATACTTGGTTTAAAACTTAACAAAAGACAAATAAAAATGCAAATGCACAAAAAGTTATATATATATATTAAAAAAGAACAATGTATGTTAAAAAGTTAATGACAACCAACTTCATTTACAAGTCTACACTGTATGGAACAAGGAAAATCACATATACAAAACTATCTGTAACTCTTACTCCTCATCAAACACAACATCTAGAGCCTGCCACTTTCTCAGCTTGAACTATCCATTGTGATTAAAAGTGATTATATCGTGCATGTTCTTCACATGAAAAATGTTGTCTACTTTGTCTGTGATATATCTAATATTGTAGGAGGTACCTTTTATATTTGGCTCAAATCTCTCCTCTAGGACCTGGTGTAGGGAGCACCTGTTACATGTGTGCACACATAACTCCTCTGTAACCTACTGTAGCCAGGGTTGCGGGGGTGGGAGAGGGTGGAGGGGTACACATGGTACAAATGTGACTCTCATCACTCCTCTTTGACCTACTGCAGAGGCACCTGATACAAGTGTGACACACCACTCCTCTTTGACCTACTGTAGGGGCACCTGATACAAGTGTGACACACCAATCCTCTTTGACCTACTGTAGGGGCACTGTTACAAGTGTGACACACCACTCCTTTTTGACCTACTGTAGGGGCACCTGATACAAGTGTGACACATCACTCCTCTTTGTCCTACTGTAGGAGCACCTGCTACAAGTGTGACACACCACTCCTCTTTGACCTACTGTAGGGGCACTGTTACAAGTGTGACACACCACTCCTTTTTGACCTACTGTAGGGGCACCTGATACAAGTGTGACACACCACTCCTCTTTGACCTACTGTAGGGGTACCTGATACAAGTGTGACACACCACTCCTCTTTGACTTACTGTAGGGGCACCTGATACAAGTGTGACACACCACTCCTCTTTGACCTACTGTAGGGGTACCTGATACAAGTGTGACACACCACTCCTCTTTGACTTACTGTAGGGGCACCTGTTACAAGTGTGACACACCACTCCTTTTTGACCTACTGTAGGGGCACCTGTTACAAGTGTGACACACCACTTCTCTTTGACTTACTGTAGGGGCACCTGTTACAAGTGTGACACATCACTCCTTTCTGACCCACTGTAGGGGCACCTGATACAAATGTGACACACCACTCCTTTTTGACCTACTGTAGGGGCACCTGTTACAAGTGTGACACATCACTCCTTTCTGACCCACTGTAGGGGCACCTGATACAAATGTGACACACCACTCCTTTTTGACCTACTGTAGGGGCACCTGATACAAGTGTGACACATCACTCCTCTTTGACCTACTGTAGGGGCACTGTTACAAGTGTGACACACCACTCCTTTCTCACCTACTGTAGGGGCACCTGTTTCAAGTGTGACACACCACTCCTTTCTGACCCACTGTAGGGGCACCGGATACAAGTGTGACACATCACTCCTCTTTGACCTACTGTAGGGGCACCTGATACAAGTGTGACACACCACTCCTCTTTGACTTACTGTAGGGGCACCTGTTACAAGTGTGACACACCACTTCTCTTTGACTTACTGCAGGGGCACCTGTTACAAGTGTGACACATCACTCCTCTTTGACCTACTGTAGGGGGCACCTGTTACAAGTGTGACACACCACTCCTTTCTGACCTACTGTAGGGGCACCTGTTACAAGTGTGACACACCACTCCTTTCTGACCCACTGTAGGGGCACCTGATACAAGTGTGACACACCACTTCTCTTTGACTTACTGTAGGGGCACCTGATACAAGTGTGACACCACACTCCCCTGTTACATATCACCTCAGGGTGTCAAGTTTTTGAACATCAATGACCAATTGCTATAATCATTTCTATAACCTCTAAGAAATGATGAGATAATTTACTCTACTTGGCTAATTAGAAGGCATTTATAAAGTGGGTAGGTAAATTGATGACTTGTAAAGTTTGGACATAAAAAGGAACTCCTTGATGTTGTAGTCCCCTAAAATCAGCAGTGATAACCATAAGTAAACAATCAAGCTGTGGTTCTCCATCATTCATACCAAAATGATTACCAGACCAGATACTTCAGACACTTTAAACCGATACCAGAAAAGTCAAACACTTCATATAAATATCATAGCTATCAGTATTGTAAGACAGATATCAGACACATCATATCAAAAGTCTTTATCAGACTGATACCAGACACTTTAGTACATAAGACATGTCAGATAGATACCAGACACTTCAGAAGTACATAAGACATGTCAGATAGATACCAGACACTTTATATAGGTATCAGATATATCAGAAATAAAATCAATCATGTCAAACAGACACTAGAGACAGTTTGAAGATATAACCAGACACATTTTACACATGTTATGCTTATCTAGCGCCAACTACCAGTAATATGTCAACAGACTCCACATTGAGTGTCATTCAAGAGGTAACAGAACCTCACATTAATCTTGTCTTTGACTCCACCTATTCATTTCAAAATGGTTTCATAGTTACAGAGTCGAAACAAATAACACAAAAATGTGTTGAATAGCTTCAAAAATAAATATGCCCAATTCTAGTAAATATGTACTGCTAATGAATATTCATGAATCTGTTCCTAAAGGAAAAGGTTTTGGAGAAGATAGTAAATCTGAATGTTAAGGAATATCTGAATATCCCCATATTGGAGAACATCAGGGTATCCCCATATTGGAGAACATCAGGGTATCCCCATGTTGGAGAACATCAGGGTATCCCATGTTGGAGAACATCAGGGTATCCCCATGTTGGAGAACACCAGGGTATCCCCATGTTGGAGAACACCAGGGTATCCCCATGTTGGAGAATACCAGGATATCCCCATGTTGGAAACCATTAGGGTATTCCCATGTTGAAGAACATCATTGTATCCCCATATTGACTAGTGTTAAGTTCTATTGACTAGCATAACTTTTCATGAAGAGCCTGTAGCTCCATGTAAAAGAAACGAAGAATCCACCTAGACCAGGGACTGACAAGTTTACTGTAGAATCAGAGGATACCCAGTTCTACCATTCTGATAATATCAAATTTTTATCATGTAATGGATATTTCTCTTAACTACCTAATTAAACTGAGTTTCAAAATGTTATTATTTTCATGGAAAATAATATTTCCATTAATCATTCAATAACACACATGGGATTAGAATGAAGTTTAGCTGACAGACTTGTGATCATTTTTGCACCCTTCAAAGCCTGGTCTCCTTGGATCCTCTCTTTGTACAGCTATTTCAGGCAATATCTTATTACGCAGAAAATGTTTTGTACCCAATAATTAGCACAAGGCTATTACCTACATATTTTGTGGTATTCTGAAATAAAATTAGATTTATGTTTCATAATAAGTGTATAGAAAAATAGTATTGAGATTACAAGATGTTCAGCCGAGGTGTGATACAGAGAAAAGGACAGAATCGGGGCTGTCTAAGTCTGTAAATTTACAGTGTACATGCATGTCACGTCCATTAACAATGACCAGTGATGACTCCGATGGTGTAGCAAGGAATTCACTGAACACATTCCCATGCACTATGGAGCGTGTTGCCTGGGACCATGGCCATACTCGTACAGTTCTAGGATCTTCGGCATCTGTAGAGGAACATATAGAAATATTAGACCTCAGCTGAGATGGCAGTGTGCTTCATTATTTCTAGAATATCCCAGATATTTAATAACCCCTCCATGGATCATCATTACAGTTCTCATGTCAGTCTGACCATCTCCAGGACATTATCATTAAGTCTACCATAATTTAACTGACCATCTCCAGGACATTATCATTAAGTCTACCATAATTTAACTGACCATCTCCAGGACATTATCATTAAGTCTACCATAATTTAACTGACCATCTCCAGGACATTATCATTAAGTCCACAATAATTTAACTGACCATCTCCAGGACATTATCATTAAGTCTACCATAATTTAACTGACCATCTCCAGGACATTATCATTAAGTCTACCATAATTTAACTGACCATCTCCAGGACATTATCATTAAGTCTACCATAATTTAACTGACCATCTCCAGGACATTATCATTTAGTCTACCATAATTTAGCTGACCATCTCCAGGACATTATCATGGAGTCTACCATAATTTAACTGACCATCTCCAGGACATTATCATTAAGTCTACCATAATTTAACTGACCATCTCCAGGACATTATCATTAAGTCTACCATAATTTAACTGACCATCTCCAGGACATTATCATGGAGTCTACGATAAATTAACTGACCATTATTTGCACCTTAAATCCCTATTCACACAGATCATACACATTAAATATCACAACAAGCAATGTGAACTTTGACCTTCTGTTACCCTATGTTTCACTTGGAATCTAAATTTTGATACTGAGAGGAGCAGAAAATGATGATAATTCTAATTCAGGAATGGTGTTTCTAAATACTAGTGATAATTACTTGGAATCCCTGCTTTACCTTTGATGGTCGTAACTTTTCCGTTAATCAGATTCACATGGAAGACTTCAGCTTGGTCCTGTGAGGTCAGGTAGAGGTCATATCCTGTGTTGACCTGAGATGGGAAGAAGGTGACATCACTGATGGAGGAAGCCACACTCACCTCAACACCCTTCTTGATCTGACCTAAAACAAAGGACACACTCTTCAATTTCATGTTGTTGTATGGCCCATAAACAAACATAGTCAGGGCTAATACTGTAAAATAGTTTACAAACATCACACAAAAGATAAACAAGTATCCATCAATAGAATAGAAGTTCTTATAACACAAGATAAGAGGGTGATGAGGACTAAATGGCCACCTTCATCTTATAACACAAGATAAGAGGGTGATGAGGACTAAATGGCCACCTTCATCTTATAACACAAGATAAGAGGGTGATGAGGACTAAATGGCCACCTTCATCTTATAACACAAGATAAGAGGGTGATGAGGACTAAATGGCCACCTTCATCTTATAACACAAGATAAGAGGGTGATGAGGACTAAATGGCCACCTTCATCTTATAACACAAGATAAGAGGGTGATGAGGACTAAATGGCCACCTTCATCTTATAACACAAGATAAGAGGGTGATGAGGACTAACTGGCCACCTTCATCTTATAACACAAGATAAGAGGGTGATGAGGACTAAATGGCCACCTTCATCTTATAACACAAGATAAGAGGGTGATGAGGACTAAATGGCCACCTTCATCTTATAACACAAGATAAGAGGGTGATGAGGACTAAATGGCCACCTTCATCTTATAACACAACCAGTAGATGATTAGAGTGTGACGTTTCGATGAGTACACGGCCACCTGCATCTTATAACACAACCAGTAGATGATTAGAGTGTGACGTTTCGATGACTACACGGCCACCTGCATCTTATAACACAACCAGTAGATGATTAGAGTGTGACGTTTCGATGACTACACGGCCACCTGCATCTTATAACACAACCAGTAGATGATTAGAGTGTGACGTTTCGATGAGTACACGGCCACCTGCATCTTATAACACAACCAGTAGATGATTAGAGTGTGACGTTTCGATGACTACACGGCCACCTGCATCTTATAACACAACCAGTAGATGATTAGAGTGTGATGTTTCGATGACTACACGGCCACCTGCATCTTATAACACAACCAGTAGATGATTAGAGTGTGACGTTTCTATGACTACACGGCAACCTGCATCTTATAACACAACCAGTATAAGATCAGAGTGTGATGATGACTATATGGTCACCTTCATCTTATAAAACAACCAGTAGAACATTAGAGTGTGACGATGACTATATGGTCACCTTCATCTTATAAAACAACCAGTAGAACATTAGAGTGTGACAATCTCTCACCCCTTAATAACAAACCATGTAAGTGAGAATAGCCTAATACATACCATCTTCCTGAATAGTAGCCACTCTGACCTTGCCAGTGACCTCATCCACCGTAACAATGGTGCGAGAATCAGGTGACACATATGGAGTACCAAACATGGTAATGTTGGCCAAAGGAACATCAGTGACGTAGTCCATCAGGATCTGCAGAGTACGGGTGTCATCCATCATCCTCTTGATGCATTTCACAACAACATGGCCACCTGATGTCACAAAAAATTATCAAAGTTAAGAATGTCACTTATGTATCACACAACCTTCTACACAGAAACTTGTCTATTTTTTGAGTTCCAGAACTTTTTCCCAGGATAGATTAGCCAAAGATTGCCCACACATGTCTGATTTTTTTTCTAGGAGATCGAGTTACTGAAACTTATATTGCTTCTTATATAAGAGCTTTACCTGGGAGTGGGCAAGTCATACAAAGATTACCTGTGAGTAACAAAGTGTTACCTGGGAGTGGGCAAGTCATACAAAGATTACCTGTGAGTAACAAAGTGTTACCTGGGAGTGGGCAAGTCATACAAAGATTACCTGTGAGTAACAAAGTGTTACCTGGGAGTGGGCAAGTCATACAAAGATTACCTGTGAGTAACAAAGTGTTACCTGGGAGTGGGCAAGTCATACACAGATTACCTGTGAGTAACAAAGTGTTACCTGGGAGTGGGCAAGTCATACACAGATTACCTGTGAGTAACAAAGTGTTACCTGAGAGTGGGCAAGTCATACACAGATTACCTGTGTGTAACAAAGTGTTACCTGAGAGTGGGCAAGTCATACACAGATTACCTGTGAGTAACAAAGTGTTACCTGGGAGTGGGCAAGTCATACACAGATTACCTGTGAGTAACAAAGCTTTACCTAAGAAATGGGATAGTCATATAAAGATTATCTGTGAGTAACATAATTTTACCTGGAGAGTGGGCTAGTAATGCAAAAATTACCTGTGAGTAACAGAACTTTACCTGGGGAACAGCCTAGTCATACAAAGGTTATCTGTAACAGAACTTTACCTGCAGAACGGGCTGGTCATACAAAAATTACCTGCAAGTAACAGAATTTTACCTGAGGGATGGGCTAGTCATACAAAGGTTACTGGTGTGTAACATAACTTTACCTATGGGATGGGTTAGTCACAAAATATATTACCTATAGGGATGAATGCCACTTTCTGGGGGACACAGTCAAATTTACTGAGGTCGACAGCCTTTGTGTACCGCATGGTATCCAAATCAAGTTTAAACAGGCCCCGCTGTTCGTTGTGGATAACATAACCATAGTGGAAATCATGGCCAAGGTCATTCTGGGGTGGCAGGAACATGTCCTGTACCTTTATACAACAAATAAGATAAAATCGTTATTATTTTCTTTTCAGAAAAAGTTATCTGAATAATTTGTGAACTGTTTTGAGACAACGCTGTTGTGATCAACTATATAAAATAACAAGATCACAAAGGGATCTTGATGCACAGCTACCATTAACTGATCTTTATTTGTCTATGAGACAATGCAACTCTACCGCCCACGGGGAAGCTACATATGAAATTTGAGAATGATCCATTAAAAGCTTTTCCAGAAATAGCAATTAACCAGAATTGCTTATGGATGTGCAACAGCTGCTGGATACATGGTGACTTCAACAAGTCATCATCTGATGAAGGTGGACTTAATTATCATTAATATTTTAACAAATTTCCTACTTGTGACGTTAAAATAAAGTTAAGGTGATTGATTTCAAGACGCACTATAACCATGTATCCTAGTATGATATTGGCTGATATCATCACCCTTTAAACTCTTGATTATTTAGAATCTATTTATAGAATTGAATGTACATATATTTGACCCCTGTGGAAGTACGTCAAGGTGATTCACTTCAGCATACCATGTCTTAGAACCACTAGACATTCTGGAGATCTATCACAGGAAATTCATCATTCTTACCAAGTCAAAGCGGTACCCGATAGGTTGAGTATGCACCATGTGATGTCTGCTGTCCTTACTGGCATCACGGATAACAACAATTGTCTTTGAGCCTGTGTTTCTGTCTGAATTCCAACACAGCACCCACACTTCATCTAGATGTTCAACGTAGTGCAGTTTCACAGGAAACTTGTCGGTTTGAATAAACTATCAACATATAAAACATACATCATTAAACAGACAAGTTTTCAAGAATTTACTAAAAACATTTTCCTCATCAAGCCCCAACCCTCTGTTCCAAAGGAAAAGAGGATGGATGGTGTTCATCCAAAGTTTATACTGAATTGATTCTAATTCAAGCAAGGGTGCTTCTGATGCAAATCTGGACAATATGCTGTTTTTATTCTTTCAGAAGAAGAATGACTTCAAAGAATTAACTATATTTCCCCTATTTGACTCACCTCTCTAGTCCCTGAGGAATCATCTCCAAATGATGCTTCAGACCAAATTTGGATTTTCTTTATTTCACTTATTCCCAACCTCCCCTCCCCCTCTCTGGCCCCAGGTATGTCAAACAAGCCATCTATATGAAATTATTGAATCCCTTTCATCCAAGCATGCTTGACCCCATCCCTCAACAATACAATTTAGAATCTTTACCTCCTCTAAAGGCTTAACAACTGAATATGATTAATAACCAGTCAACAGTTCTAGAGATGTAGTCATTTAGAGTAAAACAGCCAAATTGTCCGTTTTTGTCTCAACCTCTTAGTCCTATCATTCTTACAGTTTTGAATCCTCAACAACTTGGGATTCTACAAGTCCAATATGAGTGATGACCAGTGCAAAGTTCTAGAGATGAAGTTACTTTTAGCAATATAGCTAAATTTCCCCTTTTCGCCCTGCCTCTCAGCCCCTTAAGGAGTCGGCCCCATCATTTGTACAATTTCAGTCATCATCACTTACAAACGTTTCCTGTCAAATTTGACTAAAATCCAATCTGTGGTTAAGAAGAAGTTGTTTTAAAAAATTGTTGGCTGACAGACAGATGACAGATACTGCCGTACTGCATAATCTGACCTTGGTCCTTTGAACTAGGTGAGTTAATAATATGCATTTATGATATAAATATACAAAACACACTGTAATAAGTAAACAATACACAGTTACTATATCAACATATATACACACTTAATTAAATACTTGAGATACACTTAACATGCACTTATAACATCAAAATATAATCTAATCCTTATAAAGAAAATAATTTATTCATACAAAAAAAACACTACACAAAAATCTTGTGAGTCAGCAATACTAGTATACATTGTATGTAGGACTATGTGACCTTGCCCTCACACCCTGGAACATCTTAAACCGTGATTCAGCTTACCTGAACGGGGTTCATGGACTTCTGTGAGTCTATGACCACAACTCTGTTCTGGTTAGGCTGACTGATGTACACATATTTGTCCAGGACATTGATGGCATGACCCCAGAAGCAAGGCCCGTTGTCTTCGCACAGGGATGGTGCCTTGTCCAACTCCTCAGGGATGTACTGAAGGTTACCAAAGTTGGCCTTCACACTACGTTGGGTCACACAACCAGTTGGATCATACACATTGTAACCACTTTTGTGGAAGGTGTACACTGACTGTCGAATGGGCATATTTTTGTAACCTGTAAATAGAACAATACCTAAATAAGAAGTAAGTGGCACACAGGTAGCATTATGACCTTCTCACACAAAGACAAAGAAATATGCCAGTATCAACCTCCAGACACCCACATGGTAGAGGTATAAAATTGTAGAAATTCATTGGGTCTCCCACTATGTGGTGACCCCATTGATGTGTGTACACACTCCCCCTTATCATAAGTCCCTCCCTTGTGTGGGTGCCCCCTGATGATGTGTGTACACACTCCCCCTTATCATAAGTCCCTCCCTTGTGTGGGTGCCCACTGATGATGTGTGTACATACTCTCCCTATATCACAGGTCCCTCCCTTGTTTGGGTGCCCCCTCATGATGTGTGTACATTCCCCCTATATCACAGGTCCCTCCCCTGTGTGGGTGCCCCCTGATGATGTGTGTACACATTCCCCCTATATCACAGGTCTCTCTCCTGTGTGGGTGACCCCTGATGATGTGTGTACACACTCCCCCTTATCATAAGTCCCTCCCCTGTGTGGGTGCCCCCTGATGATGTGTGTACATACTCTCCCTATATCACAGGTCCCTCCCCTGTGTGGGTGCCCCCTCATGATGTGTGTACACACTCCCCCTTTATCACAGGTCCCTCTCCTGTGTGGGTGACCCCTGATGATGTGTGTATACAATATTCTGGTTCCCTCTCTGTGGGTGACCCTGATGATATGTGTATACAATATTTTGGTTCCCTCTGTGTGTGTGACCCTGATGATATGTGCATACAATATTCTGGTTCCCTCTCTCTGTGTGTGTGACCCTGATGATATGTGCATACAATATTCTGGTTCCCTCTGTGTGTGTGACCATGATGATATGTGTATACAATATTCTGGTTCCCTCTGTGTGTGTGTGTGTGACCCTGATGATATGTGCATACAATATTCTGGTTCCCTCTCTCTGTGTGTGTGACCCTGATGGTATGTGCATACAATATTCTGGTTCCCTCTGTGTGTGTGTGACCCTGATGATATGTGTATACAATATTCTGGTTCCCTCTGTGTGTGACCCTGATGATATGTGTATACAATATTCTGGTTCCCTCTGTGTGTGTGTGACCCTGATGATATGTGTATACAATATTCTGGTTCCCTCTGTGTGTGTGTGACCCTGATGATATGTGTATACAATATTCTGGTTCCCTCTGTGTGTGTGTGTGTGTGTGACCCTGATGATATGTGTATACAATATTCTGGTTCCCTCTGTGTGTGACCCTGATGATATGTGTATACAATATTTTGGTTCCCTCTGTGTGTGTGTGTGATCCTGATGATATGTGTATACAATATTCTGGTTCCCTCTGTGTGTGTGTGTGTGTGTGTGACCCTGATGATATGTGTATACAATATTCTGGTTCCCTCTCTGTGTGTGACCCTGATGATATGTGTATACAATATTCTGGTTCCCTCTGTGTGTGACCCTGATGATATGTGTATACAATATTCTTGTTCCCTCTGTGTGTGTGTGTGATCCTGATGATATGTGTATACAATATTCTGGTTCCCTCTGTGTGTGTGTGATCCTGATGATATGTGTATACAATATTCTGGTTCCCTCTGTGTGTGACCCTGATGATATGTGTATACAATATTCTGGTTCCCTCTGTGTGTGTGTGTGTGTGTGTGTGTGTGACCCTGATGATATGTGTATACAATATTCTTGTTCCCTCTGTGTGTGTGTGTGATCCTGATGATATGTGCATACAATATTCTGGTTCCCTCTGTGTGTGTGATCCTGATGATATGTGTATACAATATTCTGGTTCCCTCTGTGTGTGACCCTGATGATATGTGTATACAATATTTTGGTTCCCTCTGTGTGTGTGTGACCCTGATGATATGTGTATACAATATTCTTGTTCCCTCTGTGTGTGTGTGTGACCCTGATGATATGTGTATACAATATTCTTGTTCCCTCTGTGTGTGTGTGTGACCCTGATGATATGTGTATACAATATTCTGGTTCCCTCATGATATGTGTATACAATATTCTTGTTCCCTCTGTGTGTGTGACCCTGATGATATGTGTATACAATATTCTGGTTCCCTCTGTGTGCGTGTGACCCTCATGATATGTGTATACAATATTCTGGTTCCCTCTGTGTGTGTGTGTGTGTGTGACCCTGATGATATGTGTATACAATATTCTGGTTCCCTCTGTGTGTGACCCTGATGATATGTGTATACAATATTCTGGTTCCCTCTGTGTGTGTGTGTGACCCTGATGATATGTGTATACAATATTCTGGTTCCCTCTGTGTGTGTGTGACCCTGATGATATGTGTATACAATATTCTGGTTCCCTCTGTGTGTGTGTGACCCTGATGATATGTGTCGATCCATTTAATGGCAGGATTTGTTTCCAGTGATTAGTCCCTGATTGAGCTATTGACTGTGGAATTACATGCTTGTCGATATATCATGTCACCAGACACTGCTGATCAATGAAACAAATCAGCCCTTACAGTACTGACAAGTTTTATTCAGAGTTTCAAGTAGCATTATCAATTCCAGGAAATCTTGGCAAGAAATAGAATTCTAAGACGATATCAGTCATGAAATCCGTTTCTTTGATTAGAAGGAGAAAATCCTCCGGATATATTTGCCTTATTCTAGCTGCAATCATTGGATGGGGCTATAGTAATTTTAGGTTATATCTTTGATATTAAATCTTAATTCTAAAAGGTGGGATGTGTTGACAACAGAAATCTTTAATTTCCTGCACTTTACACAGAGCAAGTCAGGATAAAATTCTGTCTGTTTTACAGTCAGTTCATCTGCACAGGATAATATCAGAGTAAAACTAATGACACAAAGTCACCGACAGCCAGCCTTAATATCAGAGTAAATCTGATGACACAAAGTTACTGACAGCCTGCCTTTATATCAGAGTAAAACTGATGACACAAAGTTACTGAGAGCCTGCCTTTATATCAGAGTAAAACTGATGACACAAAGTTACTGACAGGCAGCCTTTATATCAGAGTAAAGCTGATGACACAAAGTTACTGACAGCCTGCCTTTATATCAGAGTAAAATTGATGACACAAAGTTACTGACAGGCAGCCTTTATATCAGAGTAAAACTGATGACACAAAGTTACTGACAGCCTGCCTTTATATCAGAGTAAAGCTGATGACACAAAGTTACTGACAGCCTGCCTTTATATCAGAGTAAAGCTGATGACACAAAGTTACTGAGAGCCTGCCTTTATATCAGAGTAAAACTGATGACACAAAGTTACTGAGAGCCTGCCTTTATATCAGAGTAAAGCTGATGACACAAAGTTACTGACAGCCTGCCTTTATATCAGAGTAAAGCTGATGACACAAAGTTACTGACAGCCTGCCTTTATATCAGAGTAAAGCTGATGACACAAAGTTACTGACAGCCAGCCTTTATATCAGAGTAAAGCTGATGACACAAAGTTACTGACAGCCTGCCTTTATATCAGAGTAAAGCTGATGACACAAAGTTACTGACAGCCTGCCTTTATATCAGAGTAAAACTGATGACACAAAGTTACTGCCAGGCAGCCTTTATATCAGAGTAAAACTGATGACACAAAGTTACTGAGAGCCTGCCTTTATATCAGAGTAAAGCTGATGACACAAAGTTACTGAGAGCCTGCCTTTATATCAGAGTAAAACTGATGACACAAAGTTACTGACAGCCAGCCTTTATATCAGAGTAAAGCTGATGACACAAAGTTACTGACAGCCTGCCTTTATATCAGAGTAAATCTGATGACACAAAGTTACTGAGAGCCTGCCTTTATATCAGAGTAAAACTGATGACACAAAGTTACTGACAGCCTGCCTTTATATCAGAGTAAAGCTGATGACACAAAGTTACTGACAGCCTGCCTTTATATCAGAGTAAAGCTGATGACACAAAGTTACTGACAGGCAGCCTTTATATCAGAGTAAAACTGATGACACAAAGTTACTGACAGCCTGCCTTTATATCAGAGTAAAACTGATGACACAAAGTTACTGAGAGCCTGCCTTTATATCAGAGTAAAGCTGATGACACAAAGTTACTGACAGCCTGCCTTTATATCAGAGTAAAGCTGATGACACAAAGTTACTGACAGCCTGCCTTTATATCAGAGTAAAGCTGATGACACAAAGTTACTGACAGGCAGCCTTTATATCAGAGTAAAACTGATGACACAAAGTCAATGACAGCCAGCCTTTATATCAGAGTAAAACTGATGACACAAAGTTACTGAGAGCCTGCCTTTATATCAGAGTAAAGCTGATGACACAAAGTTACTGAGAGCCTGCCTTTATATCAGAGTAAAACTGATGACACAAAGTTACTGAGAGCCTGCCTTTATATCAGAGTAAAACTGATGACACAAAGTTACTGACAGCCAGCCTTTATATTAGAGAAAATCTGATGACACAAAGTTACTGAGAGCCTGCCTTTATATCAGAGTAAAGCTGATGACACAAAGTTACTGACAGGCAGCCTTTATATCAGAGTAAAACTGATGACACAAAGTTACTGAGAGCCTGCCTTTATATCAGAGTAAAACTGATGACACAAAGTTACTGACAGCCAGCCTTTACATTAGAGAAAATCTGATGACACAAAGTTACTGAGAGCCTGCCTTTATATCAGAGTAAAGCTGATGACACAAAGTTACTGACAGCCAGCCTTTATATCAGAGTAAAACTGATGACACAAAGTTACTGAGAGCCTGCCTTTATATCAGAGTAAAACTGATGACACAAAGTTACTGACAGGCTGCCTTTATATCAGAGTAAAGCTGATGACACAAAGTTACTGAGAGCCTGCCTTTATATCAGAGTAAAGCTGATGACACAAAGTTACTGCCAAGCAGCCTTTATACCAGAGAAAATCTGATGACACAAAGTTACTGAGAGCCTGCCTTTATATCAGAGTAAAGCTGATGACACAAAGTTACTGACAGCCTGCCTTTATATCAGAGTAAAGCTGATGACACAAAGTTACTGCCAGGCAGCCTTTATATCAGAGTAAAGCTGATGACACAAAGTTACTGACAGCCTGCCTTTATATCAGAGTAAATCTGATGACACAAAATTACTGACAGCCTGCCTTTATATCAGAGTAAAGCTGATGACACAAAGTTACTGAGAGCCTGCCTTTATATCGAGTAAAACTGATGACACAAAGTTACTGCCAGGCAGCCTTTATATTAGAGTAAAACTGATGACACAAAGTTACTGCCAAGCAGCCTTTATACCAGAGAAAATCTGATGACACAAAGTTACTGACAGCCAGCCTTAATATCAGAGCAAAGCTGATGACACAAAGTTACTGACAGCCTGCCTTTATATCAGAGTAAAGCTGATGACACCTGCCTTTATATCAGAGTAAAGCTGATGACACAATGTGACTGACAGCCAGACTGATTCACACAAATATGTTTCGTGGGGAAAATGTGACAGATACTGTTATCTTTATGATGCCTAACATAAGTAAATTTGGTGTGATCAGCTGTTCACATCATGCTTGTGATATGCACAATTTTGAAATTGTGTGATCAAAAAGAATTATTCATCGTTAAATATTTCAGCCCCGTCTTTAATGCTGTCCTATTACAATTCCCCTGCGATTGTTTTTATTTCCAGATGAGGTATTTTAACAGACAAGTTTTACCAAAGGTCTTTGTCTACAATTCTACTGATTGTCAGTTACATGGTCACTGATTTCCTTATCTTTTAAAGTGACATGAAATCAATACCCTGAATGACTGGATTTGTACTCATTTATTTTAAGATAAATTTGAAAAAATTTAAAAATCAATACTTGACTTTTTCTACAGCGTTTTCATTGATGAGACTCAATTGGTATACATTAGCATGACCTAAACAAGAAAAACAAAGCATTGATCCATGCCTCCACTGAAGCGATATTTTCTGCCATATATCACTTTCTCTAAACACTGGTAGACGCTAGGCAGTCTGATAACAGACATGGTTATATAAGAACTTTAAGAACCAGAAAATTTTGGCTGTACTGGAAAATTTCCAGCTGAAGCTGAGTGTCACTGTATTGATTAAGTGTAAAACCATTATAATAAACATATCTCCCAGTAGGTATACATTTAAAACATGGGGTTGGAAGATTGAGTTTCGCATCTGTACAAGTCAATTTTCTTTCTTTCCTCAAACAAAAATCAACAAAAATCTACATCAATTTTACATTTTTTTAAGTGTCCGATGAGAAAATTAAAACTACCACACAGCAACAGTCTACTTCCTTTTACAGTTATGTTGCACTGTCTGACAAAAAGCCACTGCAGCTACTGGTTTAAGCAGTAATGCCAATCTCTCAGCCAGTTATCAGGCCATCTCCCTGTTTGGAGACAACTGTTATGTATTGGGCGCCAAGGTTTAATGTAGGATAACAATGGAGGTAAATTGCTAACAACATCTTTGACTTTAAGTTAGCAATAATATGTCGGCCCCCTGGGCTTATTGTGGGATAACTATGGAAGTAGATCTCTGGACATCTCCCTGACTTTGACTGAATTTTGGTCCCCTGGGCTTATTGTAGGAAAACTATGCTAATAGTTCTTTGGTCACATAATGCATCATGAAAATATTTCAGTATAAAGGGCACAGTTTAGCAAGTGATTTTTAAAATAATCCCAACATCATTGAAATATTTTAACAAGAGGCCCAAGGGCCTTAACAATCACCTGAGTTTCTATGCAGTCTTTTTTCTCATAACTTGATAACATATAATGCAAATGCATACTGTGTATAACATTTTTTGCAATCCCATGCTAAGGCTTCTAAACACATTTAAATTAGAAGAAATAACACTTCAGAATAAAATTTCCTATACAAATTCTTACATCTATGAACAGTGCTTAATAAATTTTTTCATATCTGGGTATTGAAAGGTCTTTGAAATTTTGAGTCAATTTGACCCCTTTTGGCCACTTCCATCAGTCCTATGTGGTCAGTCAGGATCAATATGTGTATATCATCAAATTGTCATTTTATACTTATATTTTTACCCATGTCTAAACTATTTCAAATAGAAAATAAACAAATCATGCTCAAAATTGTAATATTCTTATAAATACATATATACACTTCCCACTTTTGGGCTGCTAAACATTACTGTAGGGGCTACAAAAATGAGTTATAACTATGAGTGATATAGATCAAACATTGACCTTGACCTTTGACCCAATTACCTTAACCTTTGGTCACTTGACTCCTTATCTAATTCTGACCAACTTCATAATGGTAAATGCTCCATAATGTTATAACAAAATATGCCTCAGTAATAGACACAAAATTTGACCTTTACCTCTGCCACTATGACCTTGAAAACTTTGTTTCATAATGTCATAACAAATAACATCTGTTGAATGATCAAGGAGTAATGGTCATTTGTTGATAAACATGCTTAAAGTTACCTGTTGCCATGGCAACCTTAATTTTGTAAAAGAAAAGTTACATGCACATCTACTTATGGTCTTTCATATTGATACAAAGTTTCAGTGGAATTGGTTCATCAGTTTAGGAGGAGTTCTCCAGACCATATTTGCAGATGAAAAACATCTGAACAGATAGACAGACAGGGTATAACTACTGTAAACTTTACCAACTTCCCTAGGGAAAATGTGAGACCTTGGGGTCCTTACACTTACAATTTTGGTAAAGCACTTTAAGATACTTTAATTCTACCTTATCTAGGTGTGGAAAGAATGATTTTTTGAAATTTTAGTTAATTTAATTTTTATTCTGGCCCTACCCATAAACTCATGCTCAAAAATGAAATTTTCCAATATAAACTATAGTATACTTTACCCACCCCCAGGGGTAAATGTGATACCCTTGGGTGATGAAATTTATGATTTGGTAAAGCATGTTAAGACTCCATGAAGAGTATTCGATTCTTCCTTACTGAGAAGATTTTTGAAGGATCAATTAATTTGGCCCTACCCCTTAGGCCCCTGGGGATGGCAACCATGTAATTTACAAATTTGGTGCACATATGGCCTTGGAAGGTTTCTGAAAAATTTCATTGAAATCTGCTCAGGGGTTTCCCAGAAAAAGTAGAAAATGTTAAAAGTTTTTAATGCATGATGCACACCACAAGATGCTGGACAAAAGGCAATCCCATAGGTCACCCTGAGAATTTGTCTCTTGTGACCTAAAAATCTTCCTCGAACTCCAAAATCTTTCCTTGTATGAGCATTGCCGTAACATATACAATAAGTGCTACATCATACAATATATTCAACGTCTTTTACTAACTTATAGCAAAGGTAACTGAATGGCAAAATATGAAGCAGCACTGAAGTACGTTCATCAGCGTCAAAAAATATGTATAGAATATTTCTTTTTTTTATGACATATATAATCTGCCAGTGACCTTAACCTCAGCCTTATTTACAAGTGTCCTTGCCGCCAAACATCCATGACATAACCTTGACCTCACATCATCCAAGACATGATGGTAAAGATGACAAGGGAACAAGGGAATAAAAACAAAAAAGATGTTTTTACAATGTACATGCCGAGTCAAATATGATACCACTCTATAAAGAGGCCTTCTCAGGATACACACAGTGAAGCTGTACACAAAGAAAGCTGTGATTAAAATTAATGGTCCATCATGATGACAACTCTGTTTAAACATCAATGGTCATCACAAAGAAAGCTATACTTCTAATCAATGACCCATCACAAAGGAAGCTGTACTTAAATTAATGACCCATCACAAAGGAAGCTGTACTTAAAATCAATGTCCCATCACAAAGGAAGCTGTACTTAAATTAATGACCCATCACAAAGGAAGCTGTACTTAAATTAATGACCCATCACAAAGGAAGCTGTACTTAAATTAATGACCCATCACAAAGGAAGCTGTACTTAAAATCAACGGCCAAACAGGAATGAAGCTGTGCTTGAGATCAATGGTCCGTCATGATGGAGGCTGTATGTACTTGGAGTCAATAGCCCATCAATGGTGTAATCCAAAGATGTTTTATCAGAGTAACTTAGAGCCCATGGCCTCTCAAGATAAAAACTACTTGGAATTCATTGCCAATCATGCTGGAAGCAAGTATAGAGCACAATCCAGATCTGCTTGTCAAATAGAACCTACAAAGTCACATGATACAATCAATACAGCCAATATATACTTGTGACTACATCTTCCTTATGACCGTATAGAGATGTAGTAGCATTGCAATTTGAATTCTTTCTTAATAGTGTCACTTACTGAGCATGGTTTCGTTGGGTTTGTGGATGAAGATGGTGGCAATATCATGAGCCCTTCCAGCTGTGTTCTCTGCGATACACTTGTATGCACCAGTGTCTCTCTTATAGTCGGTATGGTAGATTGTCAGAGTACCATTCTTGTCTGAAAGGAAAACAAATGAAGTTCTCTTTACTCTGAGAATGAGATGAATCTCAAACGTATACAGGTAACAGAATTTTTTTTCTTATACATAAGTGTGATGAAATTGTAAAAAAGCCATCCAATCATCTTTATTCAATATATCTGAAAAAGACAGTTTTATCTCCCTTTAGGATTAAACGTCAGAAAGTCAGTTGGATATGGCATGTCATTTTGTGTCAAATGTTGCACAAATTGATATATCAAACTTGACAGTAAAACACAGAACTGGGTAGTGCACAAATTTATCCTGTATCATGTATGAAAATCCATGAAGTAGCAGTATTTAGTGAAGTTTATACTTACGAGATCTAATGAAGTGGTTTGGTATCTTAGGTAGAGGCTTCTCATTGACTTCCCAGGAAATTCTAGGAGGCGGAATTCCCTCAGCATGGCAGTGAATTGACACATCAACATTGTTAATTTGAAGCAGCTGACTGGGAGGGGACACCTTAACTCTTGGAATCACTGATAATGAATTACAGATATCATGTCGTAAGACATCACAACATAAACATGACAGTATACGACAAATCTGATGTCTGGTCAAAACACAAACATGACAGTATCTACACACAAATCTGGTCACAACAAGAACATGATAGTATCTACAACAAATCTGATGTCTGGTCACAACAAGAACATGATAGTATCTACAACAAATCTGATGTCTGGTCACAACACGAACATGATAGTATCTACAACAAATCTGATGTCTGGTCACAACACGAACATGATAGTATCCACAACAAATCTGATGTCTGGTCACAACAAGAACACGATAGTATCCACAACAAATCTGATGTCTGGTCACAACACCAACATGATAGTATCCACAACAAATCTGATGTCTGGTCACAACACGAACATGATAGTATCTACAACAAATCTGATGTCTGGTCACAACACGAACATGATAGTATCTACAACAAATCTGATGTCTGGTCACAACACGAACATGATAGTATCCACAACAAATCTGATGTCTGGTCACAACACGAACATGATAGTATCTACAACAAATCTGATGTCTGGTCACAACACGAACATGACAGTATCCACGACAAATCTGATGTCTGGTCACAACAAGAACATGACAGTATCTACAACAAATCTGATGTCTGGTCACAACAAGAACACGATAGTATCTACAACAAATCTGATGTCTGGTCACAACACCAACATGATAGTATCCACAACAAATCTGATGTCTGGTCACAACACGAACATGATAGTATCTACAACAAATCTGATGTCTGGTCACAACACGAACATGATAGTATCTACAACAAATCTGATGTCTGGTTTACAACACAAACATGATAGTATCTACAACAAATCTGATGTCTGGTCACAACACGAACATGACAGTATCTACAACAAATCTGATGTCTGGTCACAACACGAACATGATAGTATCTACAACAAATCTGATGTCTGGTCACAACACCAACACGATAGTATCTACAACAAATCTGATGTCTGGTCACAACACCAACATGATAGTATCTACAACAAATCTGATGTCTGGTTTACAACACGAACATGATAGTATCTACAACAAATCTGATGTCTGGTCACAACAAGAACATGATAGTATCTACAACAAATCTGATGTCTGGTCACAACACGAACATGACAGTATCTACAACAAATCTGATGTCTGGTCACAACACGAACATGATAGTATCTACAACAAATCTGATGTCTGGTCACAACACGAACATGATAGTATCTACAACAAATCTGATGTCTGGTCACAACACGAACATGACAGTATCTACAACAAATCTGATGTCTGGTCACAACAAGAACATGATAGTATCTACAACAAATCTGATGTCTGGTTTACAACACCAACATGACAGTATCTACAACAAATCTGATGTCTGGTTTACAACACAAACATGATAGTATCTACAACAAATCTGATGTCTGGTTTACAACACGAACACGATAGTATCTACAACAAATCTGATGTCTGGTCACAACACGAACATGATAGTATCTACAACAAATCTGATGTCTGGTTTACAACACGAACATGATAGTATCTACAACAAATCTGATGTCTGGTCACAACACGAACATGACAGTATCTACAACAAATCTGATGTCTGGTCACAACACGAACATGACAGTATCTACAACAAATCTGATGTCTGGTCACAACACGAACATGACAGTATCTACAACAAATCTGATGTCTGGTCACAACACGAACATGATAGTATCTACAACAAATCTGATGTCTGGTCACAACACGAACATGACAGTATCCACAACAAATCTGATGTCTGGTTTACAACACGAACATGATAGTATCTACAACAAATCTGATGTCTGGTCACAACACGAACATGATAGTATCTACAACAAATCTGATGTCTGGTCACAACACGAACATGACAGTATCTACAACAAATCTGATGTCTGGTCACAACACGAACATGATAGTATCTACAACAAATCTGATGTCTGGTCACAACACGAACATGATAGTATCTACAACAAATCTGATGTCTGGTCACAACACGAACATGACAGTATCTACAACAAATCTGATGTCTGGTCACAACACGAACATGATAGTATCTACAACAAATCTGATGTCTGGTCACAACACGAACATGATAGTATCTACAACAAATCTGATGTCTGGTCACAACACGAACATGACAGTATCCACGACAAATCTGATGTCTGGTCACAACACGAACATGATAGTATCTACAACAAATCTGATGTCTGGTCACAACACGAACATGATAGTATCTACAACAAATCTGATGTCTGGTCACAACACGAACATGACAGTATCTACAACAAATCTGATGTCTGGTCACAACACGAACATGATAGTATCTACAACAAATCTGATGTCTGGTCACAACACGAACATGACAGTATCCACGACAAATCTGATGTCTGGTCACAACACGAACATGATAGTATCTACAACAAATCTGATGTCTGGTCACAACAAGAACATGATAGTATCTACAACAAATCTGATGTCTGGTCACAACACGAACATGACAGTATCTACAACAAATCTGATGTCTGGTCACAACAAGAACATGATAGTATCTACAACAAATCTGATGTCTGGTCACAACACGAACATGACAGTATCCACAACAAATCTGATGTCTGGTCACAACACCAACATGACAGTATCCACAACAAATCTGATGTCTGGTCACAACACCAACATGATAGTATCTACAACAAATCTGATGTCTGGTCACAACACGAACATGATAGTATCTACAACAAATCTGATGTCTGGTCACAACACGAACACGATAGTATCTACTACAAATCTGATGTCTGGTCACAACAAGAACATGATAGTATCTACAACAAATCTGATGTCTGGTCACAACACGAACATGATAGTATCCACAACAAATCTGATGTCTGGTCACAACACGAACATGATAGTATCTACAACAAATCTGATGTCTGGTCACAACAAGAACATGATAGTATCTACAACAAATCTGATGTCTGGTCACAACACGAACATGATAGTATCTACAACTAATCTGCTGTCTGGTCACAACAGGAACAATACAGTATCATGAAGTAACATAAGTACATTTAAATGCTATTTTCTCTGAAAATATTGTACTAAAATATGACTGTGCTAATTGTTCTGTATATTGTTTATTCATGTTTAGCAATTATTTCACTAAATTATTGTAATTATGTACTAATTAAGGATTGTACTAATTTACAAAAAATTTGATTGTGTAAGACTATGTACATTTGCAGTAACTTGAAGGTAAATTTTGGTAAAATTGTCTCCTTTTGGATTGTTTTTACGGTGTAAATTGTAAGAAAGCAGTTGATAAGAATGAGATGACAGCTAGAACTTACTCTGGACATGTAGTTGGTGGATCTGTTTAAGTCCTGGACGATCACGATCATAACAAGTGTAGTTACCAGTATGGTGCACTCCTACATTGTCAAAGTACAGGGTGCCATCACTAAAAACCTGGGGAAGATATTGGGTACTGATTTATATATAAGTTTGTTATAGAAAAGCAACTACATATGTATAAATAAACAAGTTGATGAGGTACATTGGATACAAAAAAGTTTATAACAAGAATCTTTAAAGTTCATTGGGGTGTGTAAAAATACATGATATACCTATCAGCAATTAGAATAGAGAGTTACGTACAGCTATGTCCGGGAAGCTGACCATAGCCACATCTATAGTGTGTCTCTCCCACACGACCTCTGACCCCTCCGTTGGATGGATACCACACTGAATCTCCAGACCATTGCCCATGGTAGCCAGAATAGGGATAAGTTCCACTTTTTGCTTCATCACTTCCTCAGGAATGTCTACAACACGAAGAAACAGAGAAACATGAGCCAATCATGATAAAGTATTGGGACGTATGTTTTTTATAAACAAGATACAATGTAATGAAGTATTGTTGATGTTTCCTGCAGCTCTGTCATAGGAAAGACAGGAAATCACTCCCAAATCTGCCATTAAAACATACAAGATATATATATTCCAACATCAACTACAACTTTCAATAAAGGTGGGCTTATTAGTGAGCGTTGTTGGATCACTGTATACTACAATTTACATGTCATGGCTTTGTATATTTTTATTGAAATGATATGTGAGTGAGCAGTCATTAATCATGTTGGCCTTGTGTTACTCTAAATGACATGTTGACATAAAATAATATCGTACCAAATGCCTTGACAAACTCATTTTTGTCCATGATCCCATCATTATTCTTTAAGTCGTCAGATTTCATGATGTCCACTAGGGTACATTTGTCAGATAGTTTTCCAAACTTGTTGATGACCTGCGTTTCCCAGAGTTCCTGTGTATTCACAGCTCCATCCATATCACGATCATAGTAACTAAACATCAGCGTGGCAATGTAGTCTTTTTCTGTAAAATACATAAAAGATTTCTAATGTTTTATGACACATGAACAATTTCGATCAATTCAAATAAAAACAAGAGGCCCGGTGGGCCTGCAGCACCCAATTTTCTTGCCTCTAGGACTTTAAGTTTATGAGAAGAAGTCGTTTAAAGGTTTTAACCATATCTGACCTAGAATATAAGTCAAGGTCATTTCTTTTTGCAAACTATGTCTGGCTTCATCCTAGGAATTCACCAATCAAATATCGAAACATTTAGACCATAGGTTATTGAGAAGAAGTTGTTGCTGGATGATTGATTCGGCATAAGCCAAACACATCTAACTCAATCAAAGCAAGGCAAACAAATTCATTGTTTACTGTTAAGTTAAACCTGTTGTTAAAGGCCACCTCTATGTAAAGGCCGCCTGTCTATAAAGGAAATACTGTTCTGCTACTTTGTATGGCCTTTATAGAACAATACTCCAAATTTTTTTTTCTATAGTTTTAAAGTAAATTGTTTCATTTATCCTATATCTAAAACTGGTAGTGATAAGATGTATAATATTATACTGCTCTACAGACTCCTGAATATTGTGGGGGTTTGTGGGGGTTCTACAGAGAGCCTGTTACAGTGAATACTTACTTGGTATCTGAGTTTTGTCACAGTCTTTACGGCCAAACCTAACACAGTGGTATCTTAGAAGATCAGCCTTAAACTTGACGTAATCCTCTTTAGTACAGAGTGAATCTCCTGCCTCCATAATAGGTTTTACTCCCATGATCTTCTTCTCAAGGTCTGTCATATCATTGTAGTCTTCCTCCTCATCATCCTCCTCATCTTCCTCTTCGTCTACTTCCTCATTGTCTTCCTCATACTCCTCAGAGAAAGTTTCCTCCTCAGATAAAGTGACATGTTCATCCTCAGACTTAGGCGCAACAGGTCCTGCTTTCTTTACATCACTGGTTACTGTTTGCTTCTGGGCGCCCCCCTCAACCACCAGGTTCTCCTGAGGAATGACCTCATTTCCTGACTCCTCTGTAACCTTTTTCTGTGGTATCTCCACAGATCCTCCCATCTGTATGTTAATTGGCTCATCCTCCTTCCTTTCATTTGTAGATTCATCTACTGAAGTTTAAAACATGAACATGTGAGAGTTTTGTTGCCAATTGCGGCATAAAAAGCAAGGTAAAAACAAAAACTCCTCCATCAAAGGAGAAATTTGGTAATTTAATACTAGTAACTTTGAAACATCTAAATAGAGCTATTCAAATGTCTGTTTATATCTGCTAGTCTGCCATCTGATCAGGTTGGGTGCAAGGTGTTTAATCTCTTTGTTTAAAGTTATAGATGCACGCCATTGTACATACATATCAGAATAATGAAGAAATACACCATGAGCACCACATTAGAAATTGCTTTGCGCTGACCAACCCCTTCACCATCTATCTATAACAGGTTTAAAACTGAGTATACTTACATGGACAGCGTATGATGTAGAAGTTGAGTTTCTTGTCTGGGAGACAGGATTCCTGATTGTAAAGACTACAGCCACCAGTTTGGTAGTCAAACTTGAAGCCGACACAGTCACTACAGGCGTCTCGACACTGGTCAATGGTGTCGGTGCTGCTGGACACCATGCTACACGGGTCATTGTTGGACATCTTTACCTCTTCATACTTACATTCTACAACACAAAATGCTCAATTTTCTGCCTGCCATGTGACATAAATAAGATACAGCACAGGGATAACTTAATTATCTACCTCATGTGTGATTAAATAACCTCAGAAAACTAGGACTTACTTCTGTGAGATATTTCATGTTTCCTTGACAACAAATTTCAAGATAATTGTTTTCACTTTATTCTCATAAACAACCATTAGCAGGTATTTATTAACAGGAATCCTCTTTCACAATGAAATTCCCTGCTAAGATTTCTAGAGTCTACCTGCTGGATTTGTACAGCGACGGACGTAGTAGTTCTCCTTCCTCTTGTCCAACATACTGATACAAGACTTGTCGAAGTACAGGTCACAGCTTCCAGATAGGTCCATCTTGTACTTAAAGGCCTCACAACTACTGAGGACACAGGCGTCATGACATTCCACCAGATTCTCTGTGCTGGTGGACGAGGTGCTGCACATGAAGGGGGCACTTCCCGGAATAATCTCTATGTATTCACACTTGGACCCTACAACAGGTTTAAAGAATATCTTATTCCTCTGTTAATGGATTTGACTTTAGAGGATTTTTTGTTACATCTATTCAAGAGTTCTATTGTTGTTGATTCAGAAGAATACATACCAGAGTGATCACATTTCTGTACATAGTGTGCCACACCTTTCTCATCCAGCATGGCAGTACAGGCCTTGTTGTTGTGGATCTCGCAGTCCCCACTCTCGGGCACATATGTGAATGCATGGCAACCAGAACACTGCTCCTTACACTGGTCCAGAGTCAGGCCAGTCCGAGTACGAATGTTACATGTTGCAAATACCTGTTCTGCTGAAACACGCACCTCTTCAAATTCACAGCGTGGATCTGTCAACAACGACAGGGTTTAAAAGGTGATGTTTGATAAATATACAGAAGATAATGACTAGATTACAGGATTTTACTCAAACTCCATCTCAACATTGGTCATAGCACAGACTAGACTCAACCTTAGAAAAACACAACAAGGAAGTATTAAATAGTGTTTTATATAGTGAAATTTTCACCTGAAGTGTCTTAAGTCATGACACTGAAGTAGTTAAAATATAACAAAGATTTGAATAACACCATATACAACTTAGTGAGGCGGTATCTTGAAGATGAAAAGTTTAAAGCTGAATATTTCACTGGCAGCTAAGTGAACTACACTTATATAGGGTTGTATCATTTATTACACCTATCCTCTTTTCTAGAAATATGATGGGGTATTCTTACATTACATCTGATGTACTGATGCTTAATTTTCAAGTGCTAATAGTTCACAGTTGTGTCAGTTTAGGCAAGTTCATGCAGTTTAAATTCACATCTAAAGCAACTGTTCTCCATGGAGAAAACCGATCCTTTATGTCATTTCAGAATGATATATAGTCTAACTTAAGAGGTTTCCACCAAACTTTGTATTACACATATCAAACATATAACCTCCACCAAACTTTGTATTACACATATCACATATAACCTCCACCAAACTTTGTATTACACATATCAGACATATAACCTCCACCAAACTTTGTATTACACATATCAGACATATAACCTCCACCAAACTTTGTATTACACATATCAGACATATAACCTCCACCAAACTTTGTATTACACATATCAGACATAAACATTCTTATATTAACACTATTATTGGACTACATTTTACATTACTAATGAGTTTGTTCTTTATGCTGGGCTCTGATGATTTTTTGAGATGCAACTGATCCAGATTTATTACCAGCAGATTGGGCCTGTAATCTCTTAGATGAAGCAATTTATCTGTTTTCTCATTCAATATAAAATCCATTCTACAATTTAAAGAAGTTATAAATGGATGGTACTAGTTTCTTGCAAACTTGTGTGATCCTTTATCAGTTTTCTTTCACCTTCCCAACACAGTTTTATCTTGCAATATGTTTTCATAGATGGTAATGTTTCACCTTGAGATTTTCAATGGACTCTTCCTGTCTTTGATGTTGACTGATGGACTGTGTCCAGTAGGGGTACCACGCTGCTTTGGTTATAGTAATAAATCACCAGTCAGAGGATGGAAAGGACAAATATGACATTTCTCCGACCGGGTGACTATTGATTTCTTCCTGTGTGACCAGACCAACAGGCACTAGAGTGTGGTAACCCCATGGACAAATTATTACAGTGATTGATGATGTAATAATGGCCTGATATATTTTCACCACATGAATCACCTATTTTTACTGCCCTGCTTTGTCCTTCTCTACTTCAGGACTTTTTCAGTAATATGTTGGATCATTTCACACACCATGATATGCCACCATGCAGAAAAAGCTTTTAGATTCCAACAGTCAACTAAAATTCCCTTATCAATAAAACTAGACCTTACAGGATTTTTCATTATTTTACAAACAAGTCAGGTGCAAATGCAAAAGGCACTGCTCATTTGAAAATATGTTATTTTACTGAATAATCAAACTGGGATATCTTATTTCATAATTCTCAATAGAATTGACTACTGTATACAAGGTTGACTACAGCATATAAGGTTGACTACACCATATGTAGGGCTGACAATAGTACATAGGGTTGACTAGTAATTATAAGACTGACTACACTATATAGGGTTGACTAATAATTATAAGACTGACTACACTACACAGGGTTGACTAGTAATTATAAGACCGACTACACTATACAGGGTTGAGTAGTAATTATAAGACTGACTACACTATACAGGGTTGACTAGTAATTATAAGACCGACTACACTATACAGGGTTGACTAGTAATTATAAGACTGACTACACTATACAGGGTTGACTAGTAATTATAAGACTGACTACACTATACAGGGTTGACTAGTAATTATAAGACTGTCTACACTATACAGGGTTGACTACGGTATATTGAAATGATTACAGTATATACGGTTGATGACTATATTAATACTGTTAACAAAAGGCCTTTTAAAGGTTGATTGAGGTAAAATGGAAACAACTGTTCGTATTGTCTTCATGTTTTTGCTAAATATTGTAATAAACTGAAAAAATCAAGCAGCAATACTGTGTTCTACAATCCCATTACCAACACTGACAAGCTCCAGTAATCAATAGCTTTCTTGGCAAACGTTTTATACATTTGTCAGCAAATTGTACCGCAGTCAATTTGGAAAACTTTTGTCATCATGAAACCATTATGAATATTTTAAATATTCATCAATTCACTCGGAAGAAATGTAATGCAATGCAGATATTTCAAAAAGTCAGATAAATTTCTCCACAATATTTCAAACTTACAAAAAATAATAATTTCTTGTTATTTCAAATTCTTTCAGGCCAAACAACACTGTTCTTCAGGGTTAAACAGAGCAATCAAATGCTGCTTCTGTTTTATAATACATCAACCTTTTGTATAATAATGATACTAAGAAACTGAAAAACAAAACATAACAAATTACATGGGAATAGCACAGAAGTATAATTGGATCAATTTCCCTATCCAAATTACAAAGCCTTTAACTGTCGTTTAAGACAGCACTCTTGATAACAACCATGGATGACTTTACCTATTTCTTTGCGGCAACGGACTTGGTCATAAAAGGTCATGTCTATGTTAGGTCTGTAGACGATATCCTCTTTGTTTTCATACAGGGCACATTGACCAGTGGAGGAGGAGAACTCGAACGCTACACAGAGACCAGTCACCTGGGCATGGTCGCATGATTCTAGGCACTCTTCCATTGTGCTCACGACAGTGAAAGTCACATCAATCCCCCATAGAATGGCCTCAACACCTTGGCGTACCTCATACTCACATAGAGTGCCTAAGAAAAACATTTATTATTTTAATCAAGATGCAAAATAAGAGGCCAAATGGGCCTGTATCAGTCAAGTGCATATATCAGCTTTCACTTCAAAGCATTTTTGTTATATTGTTACATCTTCCCCAAAGATAAAAAAATTTCAAAGCCTCGATAACTCTGACAAAATACTTTTATTAAACAGAAGTGTATTCCCCCTGCAAACCCTTAATTTTTATAAAATGAGTCCCCTTCATCCAAAGAAATTTGTAACAAAATTTGGTCAAAATAATCACATCTACCTATTTGGGGCACAAGGCCTTGTGACCTGACTAATATTTATAGAAGAATGATTCTCTTTCTCCAAATGATATGTCAGACCAAACTGTGATAAAATCCTGGCATTCTTACAAAATAAGAGTTTTGATTAATTTATTTTCCCTATTAGGCCTTGTCTCAAGAGGTCAAGACCCACAATTTTAACACGACTAATTCCACTTCACTCAAGGATTGCAACAGAATCCTGGCATTCCTATAGAAGAAGGATTTTGAAAAAAAAACGGTTGATATGAATTTTCTTTTCCATATTGATAAGCAAGACAAAATAGATGAAGAACAAAGGCAATGGATCCAGAACCAAGTTAGAATAACTTAGATAATTCTGATTCCAAATAATTATCTCAAAAAGAGGGATTTTAAGGAATTTGTTTCCTTTCCCCTTCTGCCCCATAAACCCAAGAATGCTTTACAAATATGGGCTTAGTCCATATATTTCTGGAAGACTAGGATTTTCAAGAGTTTGCTCGTTTTCCCCTATTTTGCCCCATCCCTCCTATCCCAGGAGCCACTGAGACACAGTGTTTATACAAAATTGATTCCCCTTTACCAAAGAATGCTTCACATTAAATTTGGCCAAAATTCATTCAATCCTTAAGGAGTAGATGTAAAAAATTTCCTGCTTTGGGCTCCACCCTTTAGGCCCCTGGGATCAGAGATCCACCACTTATTTAAAATTAGGTCAACTTCGCCCAAGGATGCTTATTACCAATTCTGGTAAAATCCTCTTTTTTTCTTAAGTAAAAGTTGACTGACGGTGGATGACAGATGATCGATGCTGTGGTATTGAGTACGCTTACCTATCATTCAGAACAGAGGAGCTAAAAATTGATTGGTGTATCATATCCCATTTCATATCTATGTTTAACTAGAAAGTCTGCATCAGTCTAGTAGGCCTATATTTAGCTTACCTGCATCAAAATGGCAAGTATAAGAGTACAAGGCCTGTGTTGAGCTAGCCTATATAAGTTTACAAGGCCTGTATAGAGCTCGCCTATATAAGTTTACAAGGCCTGTTTTGAGCTCACCTATCTAAGTTTACAAGTCTTGTGTTGAACTAGCCTATGTAATTTTACAAGGCCTGTGTTGAGCTCGCCTATATAAGTTTACAAGGCCTGTGTTGAGCTCGCCTATATAAGTTTACAATGCCTGTGTTGAGCTCGCCTATATAAGTTTAAAAGGCCTGTTTTGAGCTCACCTATGTAAGTTTACAAGGCCTGTATTGAACTCGCCTATATAAGTTTACAAGGCCTGTGTTGAGCTCGCCTATATAAGTTTACAAGGCCTGTGTTGAGCTCGCCTATATAAGTTTACAAGGCCTGTGTTGAGCTCGCCTATATAAGTTTACAAGTCTTGTGTTGAACTAGCCTATGTAATTTTACAAGGCCTGTGTTGAGCTCGCCTATATAAGTTTACAAGGCCTGTGTTGAGCTCGCCTATATAAGTTTACAATGCCTGTGTTGAGCTCGCCTATATAAGTTTACAATGCCTGTGTTGAGCTAGCCTATATAAGTTTACAAGGCCTGTGTTGAGCTCACCTATATAAGTTTACAAGTCTTGTGTTGAACTAGCCTATGTAATTTTACAAGGCCTGTGTTGAGCTCGCCTATATAAGTTTACAAGGCCTGTGTTGAGCTCGCCTATTTAAGTTTACAATGCCTGTGTTGAGCTCGCCTATATAAGTTTACAAGGCCTGTTTTGAGCTCACCTATCTAAGTTTACAAGGCCTGTATTGAACTCGCCTATATAAGTTTACAAGGCCTGTGTTGAGCTAGCCTATATAAGTTTACAAGGCCTGTGTTGAGCTCGCCTATATAAGTTTACAAGGCCTGTGTTGAGCTCGCCTATATAAGTTTACAAGGCCTGTGTTGAGCTCGCCTATATAAGTTTACAAGTCTTGTGTTGAGCTAGCCCTATATAAGTTTACAAGGCCTGTTTTGAGCTCGCCTATATAAGTTTACAAGGCCTGTTTTGAGCTCACCTATATTAGTTTACAAGGCCTGTATAGAGCTCACCTATATAAGTTTACAATGCCTGTGTTGAGCTCGCCTATATAAGTTTACAAGGCCTGTGTTGAGCTCGCCTATATCAGTTTACAAGGCCTGTGTTGAACTAGCCTATGTAATTTTACAATGCCTGTATTGAGCTGGCCTAAATACCTTTAGTAATACTTTGTTGCCTACATATGGCTGAGAAGTCTACTTTATTGTTAAGCCTTTGATCATTAGCCGATGGCTAGAGAGAAGTTAGGTTAGTGAAGACACACAGCTTGCCACACTTACCATTACTTATTGGATATATTCTCTGTTCAATGTTAATTGTTGCTTTACTCTCTGGCCCTCGAGACCCCAAATGTAATTACGAACTTGAAACATTCTAGAATAATGTTTGATTCAGCAACATAAACAAAACAGCAGTGACTACATAATACTTGTGTACTAGCTTAAGCCAGAACCATTGTTAAAGGAGTAAAGAATTGTATAAGGCTGGGAGACAACCTTATCAGATGTGTCATCACAGCTAAGGAATATTGGACTGTCAGTACAATCACAAATGGTATATCTAGCATGAATTTTTTCTGTCAGTGATCATCACACTGTTAATGTTGTCCTTATATATACATCAGTCTATATCACACTGTTAACGGTGTCCTTATATATACATCAGTCTACATCACACTGGTAATGATGTCCTTGTATCTACACCAGTCTACATCACACTGTTAATGATGTCCTTATATCTACATCAGTCTACATCACACTGTTAATGATGTCCTTGTATCTACATCAGTCTACATCACACTGTTAATGATGTCCTTGTATCTACATCAGTCTACATCACACTGTTAATGATGTCCTTATATATACATCAGTCTACATCACACTGTTAATGATGTCCTTATATCTACATCAGTCTACATCACACTGTTAATGATGTCCTTGTATCTACACCAGTCTACATCACACTGTTAATGATGTCCTTATATATACATCAGTCTACATCACACTGGTAATGATGTCCTTATATCTACATCAGTCTACATCACACTGTTAATGATGTCCTTGTATCTACATCAGTCTACATCACACTGTTAATGATGTCCTTATATCTACATCAGTCTACATCACACTGTTAACGATGGTGTAAACTTTTCTAAAAATGCCTTTTATATACATATACATGGACCTGATAACAACCAAAAACGTATACAAGTACAGAGTAGTTATGACCCAGGCTTCATCTTAAGGTTGCCTACTCTTCAAAATTCTTCTTTCATTTTTCATTACAGGTCGACATTTGTGATGTTGTAGAGTTTTGGATACACTGTCATCATACGCTACGACATTCATGAGAGAAAACCACACTGATATTAGGATCAATGAAGAAATGACCTTTGACTTCTTTCAGCACAAAAATATAAGACCTGATAATGATCACAGGACTTTAGATCAGTGGATCAACAGAAGAAGCTGTAAGTTATAGATTACCTTGAAGGTGGTCTGGCTTACTGCCATCACCCTCCTCATGGTGGCTGAGGCATCGTGCCTGGTGGTCAATCCTGATATGGTGACCCCGGACACAAGCCTGTCGGTGTAGTTCGCAGTGGCTTGGGTAAAGTAGACCGTCTGTCCCACACACTGCCTTCTTATGACCAAGGCACATGGCATCACCTCCACAGACACACACGCCCTCTAGGCACACTCGACCCGTGGCACAGTCACCCTCTTCATAGCATGTCTCTACATTAACCAAACATTACAATGACAGGTTATATGGTAATAGTTGCAGTGATTCGTGAACAAGACATTAGCTATTGTCATGTGACAACATAATAAGTTAAGTCACATGATAACACAAGTATAGTCATGTGATAAAACAATCAGTATAGACATTTGACAACAAAATCAGCATATTCATGTGATATCACAATAAGTATAGATATCTTGCAACACAATTAGTAAAGTCATGTGACAACACAATGACTATAGTCATGGGATATGAGTTTTAGTTTCTATATAATGTGTAAATGAAATCTTTCACCCATTCTGCCATTTTTAGGGTGAATTCAATCATAAGCAAAAATTCTTTTTTTTTTTTTTTTTTTCCATTGGTGAAAAAAAAATGGGTAATTATTTACAGTCATCATTCATCACCATGGCAATGTCTATTATGTTGTCTTTTTATTGGGTAATGGAACTGTGCAATAATTTCTCAAATGCATTTAAGCTAAATCAGCGTTAGATATTTTTTATGATTTGTAATAAATGGGTGCTCACTTCAGTAATAATTTCACAGTTCCTTCACAATAACCTAATATTTGCATTGTAAATCAATAACATGAAAAATAAGCATATTTTTCCTTGATGTCTTTCTAAAAATTTTGGAATGAAAATAAAATTAAGCTTTTCCCAACACAAATATCTCTTTCCTTAAATATTCTTAAACACTATGTTATTACTCAGAGGAATTCCTTACCTTCAGGAATGGATACAAGATGTCCTTCAATCATCTTCCTGTCCTGAATAGCAGTCACTGGAGTGACCTTGGTGGGTTTGGTGGTGGGTGGGTTTGGACTTGTCTGAGAGTCAAATGGAGTCCTGTAAGGATCCATTTCTGACTTCATTTCTACAATAGGTGCCTTTACAGTGTTTGATATTTCCTCATCAGCATGCACTTGCTGAGTGAGTCGTTGAAGGTTGATGTCCCCAGATTCATCAATAACAGGACCATTGTCAGGCTTCAGCTGTAGGCCTTCTGTGTCATCCTCTCCAAACAAATTCATCTCTCCAAGGTTATTCATAGGCATATCACCCTGCATTTTTTCATCATCATTCTTGAATGACTTTGTCTTGAACATTTTATTTTCTTCTTTGTCATCTCTGAAATTTTTAAATCCTTTTCTGTCATCATCTTTAAAGCTTTTATTATCTTCATATTTTCCAAAAGTGATGTATGGTAATCTGTAATCTTTTTTTAACATTTGGTCATCTTCATCTTTACCAAACTTTGCAAAATCATCCTCGTTATCTTGTTTGAAACTTTTATCATAGCTGTTTTTCCCAGAATTGCTTAAAATTTTTTGGTCATCTTCTTTCATGCCATTCTCATTTGTATCTTTACCAAAGTTCTTATTCAGTGATTCTGTATCTGTTTCCTTGAAACTCTTGTCTTGCTTATCTGCTTCCTTAAAACTAATGTCTTGCTTATCTGCTTCTTTGAAACTCTTGTCTTGCTTATCTGCTTCCTTGAAACTCTTGTCTAGCATATCTGCTTCCTTAAGACTTTTGTCTTCATTATCTGCTATCTTGAAACTCTTGTCTTTATCTGCTTCCTTAAAACTCTTGTCTTCCTTACTCTGTACCTTGAAACTCATGTCTTGCTTATCTGCTTCCTCAAAACTCTTGTCTTCCTTACTCTGTAACTTGAATTTCATGTCTTGCTTTTCTGCTTCCTCAAAACTCTTTTCATCCTTACTCTGTAACTTGAATCTCATGTCTTGCTTTTCTGCTTCCTCAAAACTCTTGTCTTCCTTACTCTGTAACTTGAATCTCATGTCTTGCTTTTCTGCTTCCTCAAAACTCTTGTCTTCCTTACTCTGTAACTTGAATCTCATGTCTTGCTTTTCTGCTTCCTCAAAACTCTTGTCATCCTTATTCTGTAACTTGAATCTCATGTCTTGCTTTTCTGCTTCCTCAAAACTCTTGTCATCCTTACTCTGTAACTTGAATCTCATGTCTTGCTTTTCTGCTTCCTCAAAACTCTTGTCATCCTTACTCTGTAACTTGAATTTCATGTCTTGCTTTTCTGCTTCCTCAAAACTCTTGTCATCCTTATTCTGTAACTTGAATCTCATGTCTTGCTTTTCTGCTTCCTCAAAACTCTTGTCATCCTTACTCTGTAACTTGAATCTCATGTCTTGCTTTTCTGCTTCCTCAAAACTCTTGTCTTCTTTACTTGCTACCTTGAACCTATTGTCTTTCATATCTGCTTCTTTGAAACTCTTGTCTTGCTTATCTGCTTCTTTGAAACTATTGTCTTTCTTATCTGCTTCTTTGAAACTCTTGTCTTGCTTATCTGCTTCTTTGAAACTCTTGTCTAGCTTATCTGCTTCCTTGAAACTATTGTCTTGCTTATCTGCTTCTTTGAAACTCTCGCTTTGCTTAACATCATTTTCCTTTAAGCTCTGTTTTAACTCTGCCTGCTTAAAAAGTTTGTCAACTGGAGCTTTCTTTAGGTATTTTTTACTGTCTCTGCCTTTTGATGTCTTTTTGTCTGAATCTTTTCCGAAACCTTTCTTACTAGCTCCTTTGACACTTTTTCTCATTCCTTCAAATTTTACATATGAACCATCAAAAATGCCATATGGATACTTTTGTCCATAAATTTCCTTCAGGAATCCTTCCATTTTCTCGTCAGTGACCTCTTCTTTATCTGCCTTCTTTTTTTCCTCCTTTGACTTCTCCTTGCCTTCTTTGCTAATTTTGAATTTTTTCTCTTTCTTGTCACTGTTAACAGATGCCTTGGTTATATCATTGCCATTCAATGCTGCTTTCTTATCACTGTCTTTGTCCTCGGACACACCGTTCTGATTGCCAGTGCCATAGAACTTATCATTATGTGATTTCATTTCATTTTCATCTTTTCCATCAAGACTTTTATCCAATTTCTTGCTTTTATTTTCACCATTTACATCAATTTTTTTGTCATCCTCACTATCCTTACTGTCTTTGTTTTGCTTACCCTCATCATTTTGGGACCTGTCTACTGGGTGAGGTGGAGGAATCGGGATACTAGGGATATTTCTGTAGGACATATCCTGTTGTAAGGGGTTGTCATCAATGCTATACAGTGGCGCATCATCATAACTGTAAACATGGTCGGCAGATGACCCCTCCCAGGATTGACGTGAGCGCTTGTGTTTCTGTAAACAGACAAATTCATAAATATAGCTATATTTTTCATTACTTTATTTCAATTATACATATTTTTTAAAGGAATAATACATCCATATTCACAAATTCAACAATATTCATCTGACAATAAGCTTATGTCTGGTGAAAGCCTTATAGCATAAATTGCTGATCATTGAAGGTAATTTGATGACTTCCTGGGCTTATTGATAAGTATGGTAGATCTCTGTTCAAACTCTACTGAATTTGAGATAGCAATATGTTGGTCTCCTGGGAATATCGTAGTATAACTATGGTAGTGGATCTCTGGACATCCCCCTGACATTGAGTTAGCAGCAATATGTCCATCCCCTGGGCTTATCGTGGGATAACTATGGTAGTAGATCTGTGGATATCCCCCTGACATTGAGTTAGCAGTAATATGTCAGTCCACTGGGCTTATTGTGGGATAACTGTGGTAGTAGATCTGTGGACATCCCCCTGACATTGATTTAGCAGTAAAATGTCAGTCCACTGGGCTTATTGTGGGATAACTTTGGTAGTAGATCTCTGGACATCCTGCTAACATTGAGTTAGCAGTAAAATGTCAGTCCACTGGGCTTATTGTGGGATAACTATGGTAGTAGATCTGTGGACATCCCCCTGACATTGAGTTAGCAGTAATATGTCAGTCCACTGGGCTTATTGTGGGATAACTGTGGTAGTAGATCTCTGGACATCCCCCTTACATTGAGTTAGCAGCAAAATGTCCATCCCCTGGGCTTATTGAGGGATAACTATGGTAGTAGATCTCTGGACATCCTGCTGGCACTGAGTTAGCAGCAAAATGTCCATCCCCTGGGCTTATTGAGGGATAACTATGGTAGTAGATCTGTGGACATCCCCCTGACATTGAGTTAGCAGCAATATGTCCATCCCCTGGGCTTATCGTGGGATAACTGTGGTAGTAGATCTGTGGACATCCCCCTGACATTGAGTTAGCAGTAATATGTCAGTCCACTGGGCTTATTGTGGGATAACTTTGGTAGTAGATCTCTGGACATCCTGCCAACATTGAGTTAGCAGTAAAATGTCAGTCCACTGGGCTAATTGTGGAATAACTATGGTAGTAGATCTCTGGACATCCCCCTGACATTGATATAGCAGTAATATGTCAGTCCACTGGGCTTATTGTTTGATAACTGTGGTAGTAGATCTCTGGACATCCCCTTACATTGAGTTAGCAGTAATATGTCCATCCCCTGGGCTTATTGTTTGATAACTGTGGTAGTAGATCTCTGGACATCCTGCTGACATTGAGTTAGCAGTAAAATGTCAGGCCACTGGGCTTATTGTGAGATAACTATGGTAGTAGATATCTGGACATCCTGCTGACATTGAGTTAGCAGTAAAATGTCAGGCCACTGGGCTTATTGTGAGATAACTATGGTAGTAGATATCTGGACATCCTGCTGACATTGAGTTAGCAGTAAAATGTCAGGCCACTAGGCTTATTGTGAGATAACTATGGTAGTAGATATCTGGACGTCCTGCTGACATTGAGTTAGCAGTAAAATGTCAGTCCCCTGGGCTTATTGTGGGATAACTATGGTAGTAGATATCTGGACATCCTGCTGACATTGAGTTAGCAGTAAAATGTCAGGCCACTGGGCTTATTGTGGGATAACTAAAAAAATTCAAAAGAGGTAAAGGGTGTCATTATGTACCTCTACTTATATACAAATGTACATATTATGTACACCTTAAAAAGTCTATGAATAACTTTGCTGAAATGATTTCCTTAAGGTTTGGAGCAATCTTGAATGTTCCATTAAATAGTTTAGGTTATATATAATCACAAAGCGTTACATCGATACTAAAATGAACAGAAATCTGCATTTCACTCTTTATCCTGGTTTGAGTATCCAAACACTGAATGTGTAAATATGCTCACATCACAATGGAAATCCACCTTTGTTCAGTTTGTCAATGTGTTACCAATAAATCAGAACATTCAAGGACAATAAATCATGACAGAAAAGTAGATGGAGTCATGGAAACCCGACCTGTCAGAGTACCGATGTCAACACCTCAAAGTAGATATTATACTGAGCAGATAATAGTGCAGACTACCAACAGTCAGTGATAGTCATTACTATAGTTGGAGTAGACAGTCTGGCAGCTAGGGTTTTTTTTACACAATATATTGATTATTCCTGTACAAATATAAACAACTGTTGAAGATAGCAGTGACTCAGTGATGAATCATGAATATAAACATCATGACAATGCACAGAAAATAGACCTGACAAGCAACTATCTTCTTTCATCAACGACAGTTAGGTGCAGCAAACACCTTAATTCATCAACAATAATCAGGCATTGCAAACACCTTCAGATGTCAACAATAGTTAGGTGGAACAACCACCTTCAGTCATCAACAATAGTTAGGTGGAACAACCACCTTCAGTCATGAACAATAGTTAGGTGGAACAACCACCTTCAGATGTCAACAATAGTTAGGTGGAACAACCACCTTCAGTCATCAACAATAGTTAGGTGGAACAACCACCTTCAGTCATCAACAATAGTTAGGTGGAACAACCACCTTCAGATGTCAACAATAGTTAGGTGGAACAACCACCTTCAGTCATCAACAATAGTTAGGTGGAACAACCACCTTCAGTTAACAACAATAGTTAGGTGGTACAACCACCTTCAGTCATCAACAATAGTTAGGAGGAACAACCACCTTCAGTCATCAACAATAGTTAGGTGGAACAACCACCTTCAGATATCAACAATAGTTAGGTGGAACAACCTTTAGTCATCAACAATAGTTAGGTGGAAAACACCACCACATCACACAGAGATTGTTACCCCTGTCAAAGGACATCATCGCATCACCCATAGCTAGTCATTCTTGACAAACAACACCACAAAATAACACACAGATTGTCACACTTGTCAAAGAACATCGCCAAATCATATATAAATCTGAATTTGTATATCAAAAATTGTTTACTAAATATAAATAAACCAAGAAACAGCATAAGTATCATATCTTAGCACAATACTTCAATGCCAAAAACACTAATAAAATATGTACAATAAGCTCCACTGACAAGCTACATCCAGTACTAGTAATTCAGCTCCCATGACACACTTCTACATCCAGTACTAGTAATTCAGCTCCCATGACACACTTCTACATCCAGTACTAGTAATTCAGCTCCCATGACACACTTCTACATCCAGTACTAGTAATTCAGCTCCCACGACACACTTCTACATCCAGTACTAGTAATTCAGCTCCCACGACACACTTCTACATCCAGTACTAGTAATTCAGCTCCCATGACACACTTCTATATCCAGTACTAGTAATTCAGCTTCCACGACACACTTCTACATCCAGTACTAGTAATTCAGCTCCCATGACACACTTCTACATCCAGTACTAGTAATTCAGCTCCCATGACACACTTCTATATCTAGTTTTTTACTGGTAGTTCAGCTCCCATGACACACTTCTATATCTAGTTCTTTACTGGTAGTTCAGCTCCCATGACACACTTCTATATCTAGTTTTTTACTGGTAGTTCAGCTCCCATGACACACTTCTATATCTAGTTTTTTACTGGTAGTTCAGCTCCCATGACACACTTCTATATCTAGTTTTTTACTGGTAGTTCAGCTCCCATGACACACTTCTATATCAAGTTTTTTACTGGTAGTTCAGCTCCCATGACACACTTCTATATCTAGTTCTTTACTGGTAGTTCAGCTCCCATGACACACTTCTATATCTAGTTCTTTACTGGTAGTTCAGCTCCCATGACACACTTCTATATCTAGTTTTTTACTGGTAGTTCAGCTCCCATGACACACTTCTATATCTAGTTTTTTACTGGTAGTTCAGCTCCCATGACACACTTCTATATCTAGTTTTTTACTGGTAGTTCAGCTCCCATGACACACTTCTATATCTAGTTCTTTACTGGTAGTTCAGCTCCCATGACACACTTCTATATTCTTCTATATCTAGTTCTTTACTAATGATTCAGCCCCCTCCCCCTCCCCCCCCCCCTCTGTTTATCTGGAACTTGCTATTCAAATCACAGGCCTGTCTTCAAAAGTCTATTCATACAACTTATTTACACTAGAATATGATATTAAGACACCAACACCAGTAGAAGGGTCGACATCAGAAGACAGCGTAAATCAAATTAGCACTAGAAGTCTGCAGACATACCATCCTTCATGCAACATCAATGACTTAATTTTCTTACATAAATCAACTTAAATGTCACTATCAAAACACATTCCACAACAAGCTACAGACAGAACTGGATTACCTGATCTATTCAGTGCACAAGTACAAGTGATTTTGACAAGTTTTATACATCAAAGGTCAACTGGCTAACTGTTAAAACCTATAGATTGTATGGTGTTCTTTAATCTGGGAAGCCATTTCAGAGTGGTTGACATGGGAAAAGGAAAATGTCACATTTTGAAATATTTATATGTTCACTAAAAAGTATACTGACACGCAAAAGAAACACAACCTCCAGTGAAATGTCACTAATTTTCAATATTGATAAGAGGCCCAACAGGCCTGCAATACTCACCTGGCATTCAATGTTCTTAAAAAATACAATTTATGTTCAATAAATACATTTACATGTGCACCATTGGCATTCAGAGTGTGCACATCAAATCAATTTTAACCATTATCCACAACAAACATTAGCTTTAAAACTCAGTTCTTTACAGTTGACAATGTTGACATCTGTAACCTTGAATATGTGTCAAGGTCATTTCTTTTTAAACACTTTGTCAGGATTCATTCTAGAAACTTATTAGTCAAATATCATTTGTATTTCAATTTCAAATTCAGAATTTTTACTGGGAGTCAAGACAGCACTGTAAGGTAATTCTTAACAGAGATTCAAGACAGTTCAACACATGAAGGTAAATTTTAGGACAGTACAATAATATGTACAAAGTGAATTTAAACTGTGCAACAAAA